AGAATTGTCATATCCTCGTTTTCATGTTTAAATAAAGCTTATTGAGTATATGTGAGATTACTTAGTGTCACATTTAAATACACAGCTTGAAATTAGTAGCAGACCTTTATCGTCTGCTACTATCATACGAGTTTATCAGCAAGATCATTGTCCTTCGCTGGCTCCTTAGATGTTATATTATCCGATGTTTTAATACTAATATTGAAGATTTGAAAAAGTTGAATGAATCAGTACATTTATGACCGCTGGCAACGGTCTTGTGATCTATCAGGAACACATAACTTCACCACTATAATCCTGTCCTTGGAGATTGGCACAATGAACCAACGGGAGGGATGAAGTTGTTTTGTGTCGCTCTCGCATACGTCATAGGTATTTAGCTCACATTTGTGTTCACCGCCAAGTTTCTTTGACATTGCATCTAGTGCAATAATCTCAAGCGCATTAGCTGGAAATATTACCGTTACCAGTCAATACTTAAGTTATTTTCCAACCGGGTCTATATTGTAACAGGTTTGTATCATAAATATTAATTGCATACATCATTTACTGTGTTTATTTTGTTTTGTTTTTTTTTGCATATAATACTTATTTGGTGACATCGTATAGCCTGTCTTGAATAAATCACAATATGTTCGGCGTAATATAGTCAAGTTGGAGCTGTTGTGCCATTAAATATGATATTCATTCATTTATTCATGCTTTAGATCGCATAATCATTGACCCGATTTTATGAAATTGTAAAGGGTGGCGTGTTTGTGTTAGTGATAGAAAAATGCGTCCCGCCAGGGCAAGTGCTTCATTAGTAAATAATCAGTTACTTATCTAGGGAGGACCTTAAAACCATTTGAACTGGAACAACCTACACAATTCATCTGCGTAACATCCATCTTTCTTACGATAATCTATCTATATTACGTTGTCGGAGTCCAGTCAATGGAGGCCAAGATCTTGCAAATTGAAGACGTTCTATTGTCACATGTTCAAACCAGATTTAAAGACGAGTAATATATGTCCCAATAAATTTTATTACACAGTGGTCTCTATGAGGTCCTCAAAAGGCCGTTTACTTAGCGTGCCTCTGACGTTTGTGGGCACCAAACGGTCAGACAACTTGTTCATTTGCAAATATTCATGGATTATTCGTTCCACTGATGAGTTGCTAATGTCATGTGAAATAGCTAATTGTCTAACAGTTACAGTGTCAAATATATCTTGAATGGAAGCCACGGTGGCTCGATAGACTCGAGATTGCTCCCGTTGTTGGCCGAGAAAGCTCAGTGGTCTTTATGGCGCGTTTTCCCTTTTTAGTGTTGCGGGATTGAGGGCCTGGAAAGTACAGTTCTCTAGTCGATGAGACGAAAACCCGTGGTCACGTGTACACGTTGTTGCGCACGTACACAAACCCTTTACAATACGGGACGTAGCGCCGTTGTCCGGGCAAATGTTCCTCATTACACAATGCATGGCGTATTCCTGTCTTCATTAGCTCAGTCGGTGCCGAAAGACGTCAAACCCTATTTCATTTCATTTCATTTTCTCGGGTGACCAGATCGCTGCTTCTTGTAAATTCAGCAGATCACTGTACTAACGAAGGAGCAGTGAAACGTATTGCTTGTGTCATGTGATCATGAACTTGCTTTTAAGGAACATTTTTCAAATGAAGATACTTAATCACGGCTCTGTATTCGGATCTCTCCATTTTGAGAGAGGTCGTGCTGTGTTCAGTATGTCAAGTAATTGCCGAGATACTCTTCTTGTAATAGGGCGGGCTGATTGAGAGACTCATAGTGTCAGACGTTTCGAAGATCTTTAATCTAAAATGCAAATGTGCATCCATATTGTCTTTCGGTGGCATTTAATAATTGAAACATTGTCAAATAAACAAGCCAACTGTGAGGCTGATGTCACCTGCCGAAATACCAAAATAGATACACGACACATTTCAATTATTTGCACATTTATTTTTTTCAAAAGTATCGCGCAATCAAACTGTTTATCTATATTTAATCTAAGCATAACATTTTCAGAATGAAACTCATTCAAGGATTTGAAGTACTTGTTAGTGAAACTATACACTAAGTTTCATCACTGCCCATCAGTTAGAATCAAAATTATCTTGTCCTAAAGCGTCGACAAATGAAATTTCTTAGCTCTGCTTAGCTTTAGCGAAATTGTTAATACTCGGACCCAGTCAAGTCATTCACCCAATGAACATCTACATCAAGTTTAAACATTCTACCTAAATTAAACGCATAGAAGGTTATTGATTTAATGAATCTATACCCAGAGTTTCGTCGCCATCATCCAATAAGAACCAAAGTTATTAAAAAAATCCAATTGCGTATCTCTGCTTAGCCTTAGTCAAGGCATTCACAGATACCTACACCACGTTTGAACATGGAGGGTTATTGTGTTCCAAACTTTCGACCAATCAGATTCAAACCCCTACCTTGACTAATCAGCATCGAAATTTGTTAAGGTATTGATGTAATGAAACTATACATGATCGCTCAATTAGAATCAAAGTTGTCGAGCTCCAAAGTCTCAACAAATAAAATTTCTTATGGCTCTGCTGAACGTAAGCAGAAAATGTTCATTATCGAACTTAGTCAAGGTATTGATGTTTTGAAACTATACACCAAGTTTCACCATATTCACTTAATTAGAACCAATGTTATCGTGCCCCAAAGCATCAGCCAATCAAATTACTTATCTCGGCTTACCCTAAGTAGGGAACTCCATCAAGGTATTTGCCCAATAACACCAACGCAGTCTAGCTCCAATCAAAGGACAGACAGAAAGACGGACGGACGGATGAAACTGTTTATTTACTATATATACTGAGCGCCATGGAAAACGCATCAAATAGTTTTTCGTATGACAAAATGATCCTGTAAACATATCTTATTTATTTAGCTTCTTATTGTGAACAATATTCAAATGGGAACACATCAATAACAACACATTTGTACACTTATGGATGTTTAATCTGTAATCAACGGTACAAAGTCAGAGGGGTCAAAACCAAAAGTACGACACAGATGTCAGTAGCGCGTGTGTCCTCCACGGGCTCTTACGCACGCTGTGCAGCGACGTCGCATGGAATTTACCAATATTTGAAAGAAGGCCTGGGGCAAACTGTTCCATTCTTTGACAAGAGCAGCTTCTAAAGCAGCAATGGTGTGCATCTGTGGTCTCCGATACAGACGGCGTCCAATCTAATCCCTGACATGTTCTATCGGTGCCATGTCCGGAGACATGGCTGGCAAGTCCAAGACATTGATGTTAGCAGCTAGGTAGTCCATACTAAAACGGGCGGTATGCGGACGTGCATTATCCTGTTGGAAGTGCTGAAGTTGTGGGTGCGCTCGAATCATCGGAACAACAATTGGTTGCAAGACATCATCACGGTAGGCTACAGCATTAACGCGACCCCTGCAAATGTGTAGGGCGGTCCGGTGATGAAATGTGAAGCCTCCCCACACCATTACACTTCCCCCACCCCATCTATTCGTTTCGAAGACGCAGCAATCTGCAAGACGTTCCCTATGACGTCTTCACACACGTTGACGGCCATCAGCGTCATAAAGATGAAAGCGACTTTCATTACTGAAGAGCACACTTTGCCAGTCTACTCTTCTCCATGTCTGGTGTCCTTGAGCCCATACCAACCTTACAATAGTGGACTGATGACAATTGAAGTGTCTGGCAATAGCACGTGTAGACATGCCAGCCCTGGACATTCCCATGGCTTCATTCCGTTGATTTTCAGTAAGTCTCGGCATCTCTAGCTCGATTCCTTCACACGTCCAACAACAAATTACGACAGATTGACGTTTCACAGTCCATGTCTGGTGTCCTTGAGCCCATATCAAACGCCGCTCCAACATAAGGTCGTCGTGCACGGAGTCCTACTTCTCTTAAACGACGTCTTACGGTGTTGGCACTTACTGGTCCCTGGGCGGAATCTGCCACGCAGATGAGTGACCCGGATGTAGCGGTCTTGAGTCTGGGTTGTAACGCGTTGTGGACCAGGACGTTGACGGTCACGTGTTGATCCAGTAACTCGAACACGTTCCACCAACCTTACAATAGTGGACTGATGACAATTGAAGTGTCTGGCAATAGCACGTGTAGACATGCCAGCCCTGGACATTACCATGGCTTCATTCCGTTGATTTTCAGTAAGTCTCGGCATCTCTAGCTCGATTCCTTCACACGTCCAACAACAAATTACGACAGATTGACGTTTCACAGTCCATGTACTGCACATTAAGTTGAAAACATGCTTTTAAAGGGCTCACACATAATGCTGCACGTGAATATTGGGGATTTCATGTGCATCTCGTGCAATTTTTTTTTTTTTGCACACGGGCCGATATTTTTTGCGTTTGGGAGCATTGTGTGAAACAATAGTTCATAGTATTGCATATAATATTATACATACAAAACCACCTAGTAATAAAATATTTGGGAAAAAAAAGTGATGCGTTTTTCATGGCGCTCAGTATAGTTAATTACACTGACGTTTCAACAAGATTTCACAGGTTGTGAATATATGCACCGTCTTAAACATTGTTTTGCCATCGATGGATCTGCTCTGTCTCGGTTTATTTCAAAAATATGGGGTGGGGGCGGGGGGTAAAATGCTGGCTCGCTAGCCTGGAGGTCGCGTTTGCGATCTCTGCACTGGCCGATAATGTTCATCTGTATTTTCCGACTTTGTTTCTCTTTTTCAGTGGTGCAAGCCGAGGGCCTGACAATGACAACTGTCTAGATGTTCGGATAGCACAAAAAAACCGACGTCCCATGTATACATTGACGTACACGTAAAATATGCCTTGGCAGTAACATAGTGCCGCTGTCCGGTCAAAATCTTCCCTCATAGCACACTGTATGGCATATGGCAACATTCGTTGGCCCAGCTGGAGCAGAACAGCCTCGCGTTTAGATTATTGTAAATCTCTATTATCTCTAATACCTTAAAACGTACTCACAATGTATAATTTTGTTTATCTTTCGTGTCATTAAACCCGTTTGGTGATACTGAGAATGTGCCCTTATTTTGTCTTGGGTGATGTGACCCAACACTTTAAGTTATTTGTCAAATAATATTTACCTAAATAATAAGAATAGGTTGTTAAAACATGGTGTCTTTAATGTCTCAAGAGGTTATAATGATGTATAACATATATAGTAAATATGCAAATATAAAACATGCAATTACTGAATATGTTATTATGGAATATCTAATAATAAAGTATGCAATATCAAAATATGCATTTATAAAATATGCATTCACTTAAATAAGCAATTATCAAAATAACAGGAATTCTAGAAATGTGTGATAATGAAAAGTTTTGAGAGGCTCTCTCATTATTAATGATGTGTAATGACGTAACTATATTACTAGAGATCTGAACGTGAACTCGTAAGTTATTTGTTCTTCACATTCGATATGAACTCGAATTTTATCGAATGTTTATCGTACAACGCTATCAATTGTACATAATACTGCTATTTACGAGTATCTAAATTATACTTTACTTTTTAAAACAAAATATATTTGAAATGTCTAAAACATTAAATCCGAATAAACTAACAATATAAATGTACATGAAAGATATAATCGGCGTACTATATACACTATGACATTACAAATCCAAAACTTCAATAAATGAAATACAAAATAATCGATTCACTAGAATTAAGCTATTAATTACGTATTGCACAAAAAAAAGAAAATAATAATAAGCACATTTTAGAATTCGTGAAATAATGGGACAGGTCGAAAACCGATCTTTACTGTTTTATCATTTGTACTCTTAATAAAAAAAAATCCAAAGCACTTAGGGGTATATAATTTTAGCTCGGAAATATAGTGCCAGGTATCTAGGGTTTATCGGTATCGATAGTAATTGTTACACCTTCATTGGTCTTCTTCTAATCAAAGTTTGTTCAGGATCTGTGGAAGTAGGATCAACATCGTCTGTAATAAATAGAAGGCCTATTTTATTTACTATTCTCATTAATATAATTAAAGTGTGGGATCCCAACAAACCCAAGGATTAAAGATTCCATGGTTTATATAGTCGAGATTATTTTAGGAGCTGAGCTGCCCATTGTTATTATTTGAAGGGTATTTGCAAAGTTTGTTTCAACCTTGAGTGCAGCATGTATTCTAGGAAACTATAAGATCAAGGATACTTTGTAAACCCGCGCCGGGATATTTTGATAAAGATGACAGCTAACATATGATTATATCTGTATATAGTGTATGTAACGCCTGCCATATAGACTATCGTAATATCACACGTTGCACCAGGAGTTAGAATTCAGTAGTCGCCCTGTTTTATGTACGTAGTTAGGTGATAAGACATCAATTGATATCGAAGATAAACTATTGAAAATAAATTGTTAAGATTGCGAATTGCTTTGACATGGAAACGATAACATATATTGATATCAGGTTATTATTCACTAAACATCTGTTCATAGATTTGAATATATACAATAATGCTCATCTTGAATTTTAATCTAATTTTCAGAAACGTATATGAACTACAATGTGAGTCACCTTGTCTTCGTAAATTTGTTAATTAAATAAAATATCAATGTAAAATAATTCGTCAATATTTGCTACGACCTCGTTGTGACACAGGTGGAAGCATCCTAATACCAAAAATAGAAATCTTGCCAAATTCCCGCACACAATGACTGACTTTATTTTGATATAAAACAGTTTACGACATGAATAAAAATTCTTGGCCCAAAATAATGAAAGCATACCTCCACTGTCTTCATTTTGTACAGGTTCATTTTCGTCCTCTGTTTCTGTAAAGATAATTTAAGGATAAAAAGTTGTAACATAATTTCAAATTGTATTTGTCTTAGATTTTTCTATCAAATGTCTTAAAATTGAACACTTCTAACATTTAAATTAAATTATTTGCATATATAAGACAAATAATTCATGTTGTATACAATGTTCTATTTGATAAATTATGAATACACGCGTTTATAAATATACAATTCATGCTGTGTGCTATATGCGATATGTTATGATTTATGAATAGAAATGTTTATGCACAACTATAAATTTACCTTCAAAATCTTCATTTATTGCAGCGTGAAGATTGTATTCTTCATCTCGTTCTGTAAATAAAGGGCATTATAAGAATCCAAAGTTCCATAGAATCACATATATAGTGAAAAATAAGAGCACATGAACAATCAGTTTCCAACTACCTGTCTTAGATTGTATAAATATAATGTTTTAAATATCTCATCAATGGGGGAGAAAATGTTCCGTCCTGTATTAAAGATGCATTATGTAAGAGCTAAATCTGCCTATTATGGGTCTTTTTCCTGGCTTCAAATGCAATATAGATTATTATTTAAACATTCGATCACACAAGTCTGTAATCGTCTCTCTAGACCATTAGATGAATTAGAACACCCACGAGATTTTTTAAAAAATCATGGATAATGGAGACCTAGTCTCGGTTGTCAAGAACCGTTTCTACAACAATAGACGATCACCCATGTTACATCTTTAAACAGCCATAATCTTGACCTGTAAAGTATTTTTAATTGAAATTTTCAATGTATTCGTTTTTCGTTATCTATTTCTGAACTATCTAAATCTTACACAATTTATATTTAGAAAATGTCTTCCTCATAGTGAAACAACTAAAATATCTGTTTTGTGTACCGGTTCATACGATTGTGCATTACGTCGTTCGGTAAAGAATTGATATAACAAATTATATGTAAATATTAATTAGTGGATTATTGTCAACTGTCCCTACAGAGAGAGGTTTTACATAAGCCAAGCCTACTCCCCAATCCCATTCAGACATCTTGAATAAAAATATTAAAAAAAAAACAAAAAAAAAAACTGTTCCCACTATGGAGATCGAATAAATCACAACAGGTCGACTGTTTGGATAGCTCCCCACTTTCACTTTCAGAATTCTATATGAAAAACGTTTCCTGATAATTCACAAGATGATTTCGGCATTTTACCGTAAACGAAAATTCGTGCTGTACATAGTCACTAAAGTTATTTTATTCAACATACATGAACAATTATTACATAAAATCTACAAAATAGAACAACACTTTACATTGACCTTCATAAAATATTTTAAATATTCTATGTGTTATACTCATGTACAGCACAAAATTTCGTTTACGGTAAAATTCCATTCCTAAATTTGGAATACTGGTTGAGCGTGAGTTTGATAATGGCGACCAATTCTAATGAAAGTTGTTTTTGTATCGCACAATTCTACATGAAAATAGTGTTGGATTTTTATAAATTTGTGTCGGATGTGGCAAGAAATGGTTCCTTTTGGCGATCAAAGAAGAATCATGGTGAAAAATATGTCCCTTCCCCCGAAGCAAAAGGTTTACTTTGAACAATTTAGGATTTCGGCACATACGTTACTAGCGATTAACAATTTAGATTTCGGCATATACTTTACAGGCAAAGTAGTAATAAAACAGAATGTTGACTTCCTAATTAAGACAATTAGCAAGCAAACTTGTTCCATAGATGGAGCCGCGGTGACTCAGTAAGTAAGACCTGGGACCTCAAACCAAGAAGTCTCAGTTTTGCTCCCGGTGTTCTCGGAAAAAAAGTCCCTCATGGCTTTCCGGCGTGTTATGCAGACAGAGGGTCTGGCAAGGGAAAACGTACATTCGTCCGGATGAATCCCGATGCTCCGTATGCACATTAGCGTGCACGTAATAGAATGTTTTCAGAATGATATACAGTGCAAATAGTATTGTTTGTAGAATCAATTTGAAACCCCCAAAGTATAAAACGGAGGCGTTATCTTTCGCTCTTCATTGATGGCAAGGTTTGGGGCATATTTAAGGAAATGCCTTACAAATAGTGAATCAACTAATTGTGTCCTACCTTCAATTTGTTTATTTTCCACCGGTCTATACCGTTGTGAATAACATCGTCCTAAAATAATGTAAATATCAATTAGTAGATTCTTGTCAACTGTACGGAATAGTTCACCACAGGAGTTCCACAACATATTGGACTTGCAAAAATAAAGACAGACGTTCGACTAAATACAATCCACAATAATGTTTATAGAGTGTAGAGTTCCACAAGATATCTTCTCAGACCCCCTTATATCCCTGTTTGTTATCAACAAGATGGTAGGATAAACGATTAATGTTCCAGCATAATAAATATAAAATATTTGATAAATGTTTCATTGTCCAACTTTCCCAAACACCTGCAAACCTTCTTGAGCAGTTGACCATTAGAATACCTATTAAATGCCAAATTAACATGGGGGGTTGGATGGCCGAATTGTTAACACGTGCGTGCTGTATCATACGGCCTGTCATTGTAGCAACTAGCGTGGTTTCGAAAACCCAGTTGTACGTGACAAGGAGTAGGGTCGCGTGTCCAGCCTCGTGGGTTTTCTCCGGGTCCTCCGATGTCCCCCCACTGCTAAAGACCCCTATGCGCAAGCGAATTATTGAAATAAAATTAAACCATATGTTAGTCCCGAAATGACGTAGTTTATGTCGAGTGGACGTTAAACCCAATTTCTCTCTCTCTCTCTCGCTCCCTCTCCAACAAACGCCCCATTATTCAAGATCGTGACTTTGTTTAAGGTCTAACAAACCCATAAGATTAACATGAATGACCGAAACAAACGTATGAATATAATAAAAGCGAAGGACTTTAATGGGCCACACTCACTGTATAGTAGAACAACCGCTATCACCGTTATTGGTGCCATCACCACTGTAGTTACCACTGCAGCGATAATCATCCCACCGTCATCCGAACTTAACAATGTATCCCCATTTGTTCCATTTGGCTGCTTGTCCGACATGCCAGACAAGGAAACTGGCACTGAAAATGTTCAATGAAAACTTTAATGACTTGGAATGGTTATATTTAGTTTAAACAAAAAGACGCAAATATAATTTATTTATTTACTCAATGTATTTATAATTATATAATATATATAAATATATCTTTTGATATATTGTTGATATCATTTTTCACGTTTGTAAAAACAAATACATAAGTATATGTAATATCTAATAGAGTGGTAAAGCCAGGGCTACAGGAGGAACCCATATTGAACACATATTGCAAAGAAGTTGTAGTAAACTGATTGATTAAAGACGAAAAGTGTTTTTGTTCATATAAGACAGAAAGCAGCAACAATAAATAGCAAGATTTATATGGTTGTTAGGGCTCATATATGGTAATCGGATGAAACGTGTTAGCTATACCCACACTAACTCACAATAAGATAAGAATAACCGTTATGCCAGTTTTTTTTAACATCATGCTTTTCCCCGGATTATATGTTTACTCATTTGGTAAAGTTACACTTTCAGTCACATTTGCATGTCATGTGTGGTCATATCCATAATTGCAATAAGATTAACGTCAATTGTACATTTTGATTAACGGAGACGAGGGGGTATATATATATTTACTCACTAATCCCCACATCAGCAGCTGCGGATTTCCTATCAACAAATACACATTTACAGGTATAATTGTAATTGAAATCATCCTTGGTTATATTCAATAATTTTAGAGTTATGTCTGCGCCTCCTTGTAGATCTTTCTTGTTAAATTTCACCCGATCTTGGCCACCATCTAGCGTTGGTTTAAACCTCTCTTCTATCCAGTATCCGACGTTAAGAAGCTTTTTACACACATCAAATAAAAAGGGTAATACAAAATTAAACATTCGATATATCTTTGACGACAGTTGTAATTACTTGTCGTCAAATTTGGGTATTTAACTTCTATACACAATTCTCGTAAAACCCCCTTAAACTTTGCTCAAGAAGAGTACGGAGTTTAAAGTTGTGTTTACAATAGATGCGTTAGTATCTGGTTAAATTATTTGTATAAAAATATCTGCTATCCTCTACAAACATACGGGCTTTCATTATGAGACAGTGAAAGGTCTTTTTTTCCATCATTTAGGTTCTCGGCGCCCATTTTGTTTTGTTTTTACAGATCAATAATTAAAAAGCTTATCCACAACCACAACAAAAATAAGCGTACCATAATATATTTTCTACGATAAATTATTTTTCCAGCTGTGGCTGCTGAGGAGAGAGAGAGAGAGATGGGCGGATGGGGTTTAACGTCCACTCGCGTAGGGGTCTCTAGCAGTTGGAGGACCCGGAGAAAACCCACGAGGTTCGATAGGCGACCTTACTCCTTGTCACGTACAACCGGAGAATCGAAAGAACGCAAGTTGACTCAATGGCAGACCCTAGATACAGCGCGCACGTGCTAACCATTCGGCCATCCAGCCCCCTGCTGGTGAGGAAATCCTTAAAATAAAGATTAAGGATTGCCAGGCTAGCTAGAAATTAGCAGTCAAATTTCTCGATGAGGTGGTTGTCTAGAGAAGAGACATAGATAATTTAACGTCCTATCGACACAAACTAGTTCAGTCGGGAATAACACATGATTCAATTTGATTTCAATAAATCACATGGGGTGGGAGGAAACCGAAGGACCCAGAGAAAACGAATCGTCATATCAATAAATGAATAATGCAAGAGTTGTCAGCTTACCTCTACATTTAAATGTCGAGTAAAGATAATGGCACGGGCGGGATAATCATATTCATAATGCCATTCAAATTCAATTTCATCATCTTTAATTACCGGTTTGTTGCTGTACACTTTAGGTTCTAAAACATAACATTAAATCATCACACATTTAATAATTGTCCGTTGCAATTAATGAAAGCAACCATTAATCTATTAAGTTATTTTCAAAACTGAAATCTTACGCCACAATTGGGTATACTTTAATTGAATTTCGTTTCATCTGACATTCTTCGTTGCTTTTCTTTGTCACTCCCCTGTCCTGCACCATGAACAACAGAAACGCCATTTTGAAATGGTAAGTGTTCATTGTCAATTATTATTTAAAGGCCCAATGCCACTCTTGTTGTAACTGAATAATATGTCCCAATCTTTATTCTGGTCAACAAATTGTACTATTTTAGAATATTTCAATTAATTGATGATACAAGTTTCATCTTAACACACCTTATTTAAAAATTTTGAAAAATTCAACATAATGGTTTGAAACGTCTAACGTAAACCTTTTCAAATGAAACTTCGATTTAAAAATGTTTTCGAACCCTCTGGACAAGTAAAATAGGATGTAATGGATAATTTACACAACAGGTAGGACACCTGTACTTAGACAGAAATATTATTTATTTTCTGGAGCTTTCAAGCCAGCAAGAGTGTTATTGTCTCTTTAAATTATGCGAAAGCAATTTTCATTTACCAATTTATTTAAATATCGACATATTGCTAGACAGATATACAATTTACACTTACTTTCCATCTCCAGTTTTATTCCATTCTGATTAACGTTTGCTCCATCAGATATTTGGCAGATGTAGATGAGGTTGAAATCATCTTTCGTGGGTTTCCCCAGTGCCAAACGTAATTCGACTACTTCTTTATTTGTTGTCTTGACCATCTTAACATTACTGACATCAGATGTAAAACCACCTTTAGTTGTCCAAACGCCAAGTTGATATTCCTGAAAATATCAACATACAGTTATCCCTATCGATAATTCATAAATCAATGTCGTTCGCACGGACTATAGACTGAAACAGGATAACTGAATTGGCCGAAAAGACACTTACGGTAGGACTCCGACCAAGCAGATTCCAAAAGGCTAATTAAAATCGGGTCATTGAATTTCAGATGCTCAACCCGTGATTAATGAATATATGGTCAGCCAAATTAAAAACTTGACACTCGGGATTTTTGGGACTAGATTTTTAATATTTGGTTTAAGGCAACTATTTTAGTGTTATGTTGTGCACAGACGACCTTGACATCAACAGAAAGCAAGAATACGTCTCGCCGAAAGTCCTTGACATTGATAACGTTCGTGATGTCACAGTACCCCCCAAAATGAAATTCACAGACTTGGAGAACAATCGGAATAAGTGTTTAGTAACGGTTGTGGCCTCCTCTAGCGTCTCGTACTGCCACACAACGTCTTCTCATGGATCTCAGAACATTAGTAAACACTACCCGAGGAAGACGTCGCCACTGCTCAGCAAGAGCATGTTGAAGGTCCTGCAACGTCAGTGGTGGATTCACTTGCTGACGAACACGTCGACCCAGTTCGTCCCAGATGTGTTCAATAGGATTAAGGTCGGGGCTAAGCGACGGCCAATCCAGGACTTGGACACCGGCATTTCTCAAAAAATTCTGGGTAGCAATTGCTGTATGGGGTCGAGCATTGTCTTGTTGAAACGTTAGTCCAGGCCCATGTCTCTGCATAAACGGAAGAAGAACAGGTTGCAAAATCTGATCCCTGTACTGGACAGCATTTAAGTTCCCTTGGACAACCACAAGTGGAGAACGTCCATGTGCACAAAAAGAACCCCAAACCATGACGCTACCGCCACCAAATCGGTCAACTTCTCTGACGCATACTTGAGCGTAACGTTCACCTCGTCTGCGGTACACTCGTGCCCTGCCATCGGCAAATCTCAAAGTGAATCGAGATTCGTCACTAAAGACAACCGAATTCCACTGTCTTTGAGTAAATCTTATGTGTCTTGTGGCCCACACAAGTCGGTTACGGCGATGAAGAGCTGTCAATATTGGTCCATTATAGGGCCTCCGATCTCGAAGACCAGCAGCCTGCAAGCGATTTCGAACAGTTTGTGCACTTACCCTTCCACCAAACATCTCTCTACTTGTGGAGGTTGCAGTGACAAATTTGTTTCTAAGATGACGTAATCGTATTGCTTGATCTTCCTGGAGTGACGTCACACGTGGCGCTCCCGCCCTTGGGCGGTCGGCAATAGTTCCAGTTTGAAGCACTCTCATTCTAAGATTAATTATTGTCTGGCGTGAACAATTAAAGGCTCTTGCAACAGTGACCACAGACTGACCAGCATAGAGCCTGCCTATAGCACGTAGACGTTCTACATTTGAAAGGCGCGGCATTTTCTAACAAAGATGAAAATAACAATTTTAATTTGTTTTTCCAGTTCAAGTTACGTATGCGTGTTCAGTTTAAGCAAACTTGCATCGATTGACCTCACGAGTTTGTGTTTGCACGTGTTTTTTCAGGTTTTTCATCTTTATATGCTCAAAAGTCACGTGATCCACGTGACTTTACAATTTTATGAAATTAAAGGCTTCTTACTACTTACTATCGTTAGAAACACTTTAAAAAAATTTTGACTTACCAGACAAAAAAATTTGTTGAAATTCATCAGTGTCAAGTTTTTAATTTGGCCGAGTATATAAATACAGTTATTAAAGCAGCAGATTGTACGGGACAAGGAGTAGGGTCGCCTGTCCAGCCCCGTGGCTTTTTCTCCGGGTCCTCCAGTCCCCCCCCCCCCCACTGCAAGAGACCCCTATGCGCAATCGAATTATTGAAATTACTCCCGAAACGACCTAGTTTGTGTCAAGTGGACGTTACACCCCCCCCCCCCCACGCTATTAAAGCAGCAATAAAGGTATATGGTGATATTTGTCAATACAGTTACCACCTAATTTAATACAATTTATCGTTATCTCTATATCGAGAAAATGTTTTGATATAATTACGTTTTTGGTAAGATTGTTGTAGCGGATAAAGGTGATTTCATTGACGATCTTTAGACTTTGATATTTCCACACCAATTCTCCGTCTTTATTAAGTCTTGATATCACTGGATTTGTTGTCGAAATCCATTTAAATTCCCAATCTATAAAACATAACAGTTTTAGTTATAATATTAGGAAGCGTTTAAGACAATATTATGCCAATATATTAATTTGATGGACATATAATTTAATCCTGTGTATTTAGCTTGAAATCCGTAAAAGGCATTTAAAATTATCAATGACCACAAATTGTATTTGTATTCGTCACAGGAGTCCATTTTAATCTGTAGGTAAACGGTACTCATTCTAATTCACTTAATTACCCGACAGCAATAGACATTTGGGGTTACGCTAATAAATAAATAACTAAATAAGGTATTTACCATCTACTGTTAGTTCTATGTCTTTATAGTCACCAGAATCATCCAATTTACACCTGTATATACCAGCATCATCTAATGTAACATCTTTAATAGTCAGAACAATCCTAGTGCCATCTAGTTGATGGAGATATTTTGTAGTGTTCTCTAGTTTCGTGATTATCTTGTTTTCAACCTAAAACGAGAATGAATACAGAACCAACGTGTAAACGAATGACCAATAACCGTCACATAACTCAAATGAATAACGGTTCGAAAAGCGGATTGCAGTTTCCACATTTGTCTTTTCGTTTAGATTATAACCTGGACATGCATTGTCGTAAAAGTAGGTATATGTATACTTCCACAGAAGCTATGAATTTCAAAGCTAAAGAGTTATACGCATTGAATGGAGTTTTAATTTATCACTACGTAATTTTCGGTTATATTGAACATGCTAATTTATATTTGTATTGCTACTTGTGTAATGCGAAGTGTCCCTCTGTTCAACTCGTTTTCAATCTACCAGGTGGATCCTACTTCTCAGCCTTGATCGTGATACGAAAATATAACCGAAGTTTCGAAAGATTTATCTGGACATAATAAACATCGCGAAATTATGTCTGTTTTTATCAACACGACTTTAAACATCGTTTATTTCCTTTCGTTGATAATATTAATTGTTCAGATTGTCCAAACCGATGTGAAAGACTTCCAGTACATTTTGTCTAGCTAGAAATTCGACGTTTTCTCTTTTGGTTACTCATTTCATGGGCCTACTTATCTAGTTTATTACAAGGTACAATATGCATTTAAAGATATGTTTAATATTTACCTTAAAGATAGAGTAAGGTTCCCCAGTAATGTTTACGTGTACATTCCATTTAAGCTGAACATCAAAACCCACTATACCCGATTGGATGTTGTTTGCTGTTCCTATTCCAAATTTCGGGGATTCTACCGCTATAAAAAATAAGACATTGCACCAAAAAGCATTCCCATTAATTTCATTAGAGTGATATTATACCTAATATAACGAAATATATCTACAAATGATTAGCACATAACTATGTGGTCACTAAATAGGAAGGAAATCAATGTGTCCACTCGACACAAACTAGGTCATTTCGGGATTAACATATGGTTCAATAATATTTCAATAATTCGCTTGCGCGTCGGGTTCTTCAGCTGTGGGAGTGGAGGAGGGGCATAGGCGTAGGAGACGGGGGGGGGGGGGCAATGAAAAATTCGACGACCTTTTTTTTCTATTAACGTTTAGAGAAAAAAATATAACTAACTTATTTCTATGAGATCCACACTGCCCGAAAAGTATTTTCTCGTCTTTTTCTTGTCCACTGCATGCCCGAAAATATGCCCGAAGCTCTCTTATGATATGTATGCCCGAAAAAACGGTATTGATTTCGGGCAATTTTCTCTTATGCCCCCCCCCCCCTGAATTACTTTGAGCTCCTACGCCTATGGGGAGGGGTCTGGAGGACGCGGGGAGAACCCACGAATTCACGAGGTTGGACAGGTCACCCTAATCTTTGTCACGAACAACAGGAGAATCGGCTCCATTTCACATCAAATCCCTAAAAAACACAGCGATTAATCAATATCCAAACATATCTTTAGGGGAATTTCATGACCACTTCAGTAGTATGTTCGCAGTTTGCTATGAAACAAATAATGAGTCTACAATTGAAAATTATACACAGTCATTCCAGTCGCAAACTATCGAATCTGATTTAGATAAAGTTATTACTACGCAGGAGGTTACACAAGCTATTTCAAAACTGAAATCGGGTAAAAGCGCTGGGAGGGACGGTATTATTCCACAAATAGTTAAAAACTGTAACAGTTTAATTGTTCCTTTATGTAATTTTTATAATTTATTGTTTAACTCAAGTTTATATCCATCAGACTGGTCACAGTGTGTAGTAGTTCCGGTACCTAATAAAGGTGATGTAAATAGTGTAAATAATTATCATGGCATACCTTTAATCAATGTATTTAGTAAACTTTTTTCAATTATCGTTAATAAACGTTTAATGTCTTGGGCTATCAATAACAATATCCTTATACAAAACCAATTTGGCTTTCAAGCAAAAAAAAGCACTGAAGATTGTATTTTTATTCTGCATCTGATCATTAATAAGTACTTGTCAAAAGGTCAAAAATTATTTTGTTGCTTTGTAGATTACTCGAATTGTTTTGATAAAATTGATAGAAATCTATTGTTTATAAAATTAAAATCACTGGGTATATCTGAAAAAATGGTAAACTGTATAAAGTCTATGTTAGTAATGTAAATTTATGTGTAAAATTTAATAATAATTATTCAGATTGTTTTCCATCTTATGCAGGCGGGAAACAGGGAGATAACCTATCACCATTATTATTTTTATTTTATTTGAATGATTTTAACTCATTTATGAATTATAAAGTTATTGATCCTGTCATTATTGATTCTCTGATATTAACATCCCTAATGTATGCCGATGATACGACATTAATGTCCACTTCCGCCAAAGGCTTACAGCATCTGCTAATTAGATTAAATGAATATTGCTTAAAATGGAATTTAACTGTCAACACCGAAAAAACAAAAATTATGATTTTTCAAAACTCTTCCTTAAATGTTGGTAAATTTCATTTTACGTATGCTAATGAAAATGTAGAAATTGTTAAATCTTTTAATTATCTTGGTGTGGAACTGTTTTACAATGGTAATTTTAACAAATGTCAGAAATCTATTGCATCTAAAGCCCTAAACGGACATTACTTTTAAAATCCTCTACGCATAGTGCTTCGGTGTATGGAGAGCTTGGAAGAACAACTCAATATTACTCCAGACTAAATTGTATATTAAAATATTGGATAAATGTTTTATCAGATAAGAGTAGTTTAAAATACATTGTTTACAACCACTCACGGGTTTCGGATTTGGACAGGAAATACAGTAATAAAACATGGGTGTTCAATGTTAAAAGTTTACTGGATAATCTTGGCTGTTCCTTTTACTGGACGAATCAAGATTCTAATCTTCCTTATTTTAAGGTTTTAAAAGCTAAACTGTTTGATCAATCTATCCAAGAATGGAATTCTTCACGTTTTGCTTCATCTAAGTTAAGCACATATAATTCGTTCACAGATTTACCTCTATTTAAATTTTATCTATGCATTGATGACCTCAAACTGAAGTTTAGAGTAGCCCTCAGTAAATTTAGATGCTTGTCGCATTCGCTCTGCATAGAAACTGGCAGATATTGAAATACACCCAGGAAAGAGAGATTATGTAAATATTGTACACTGAAGACGTTGGAAGATGAATACCATTTTTTGTTAATTTGTCCTGCATATAATGCCTTAAGAGAATTGTATTTACCATCTAAGTATTATACTAGTCCAAATATCTATAATTTGTCTCTTTGATGTCGTCAACTGATCAAAAACTTATTATATCTACAGCTAAAATTATATATTTCGCTTTTGCTCAACGTACATCATTACCTTCCTAAACTTGAAAGTTAATTTTATTGTATATTTATTGTTTGTGAATAACTATTATTATTTTTGTTTTTTGTTTTTCTTTTTAATTTTGATTCTATTATTGTATAATTTAAGGCTATAAGTTGTTTAACTTAATGCTATATGTAATAAAGTATTATTATTATCACTTTGTTCAATGACATACCTTATGATCTTACTTGCAGGCATTAAACCATTTTGCAATCCATACCCCCGGTAGCCATACGCAGAAAAAATGACACGTTATTTTGAAAATGTAAAATTTTCAATCAATATCATATATAATCCCATATATGTATACAACAATTAGTGATTATTTAAAGTTCAGTTAACCAGAAAAGACACATCCATCCAAATCACTCAAATATATTTACAAAGTTAAGAATGTGGCCCGATAATGCGATAAATTTCGGCGCAGAGAACGGGTTTATTTGCTCATGGTGAAATTGAAACCGTGTTCGAAGGCATAAACAGTCTTCAGAGTGTCATGAGTTATTATGGTCTATTAGTATGTATTTATCTCATTAACGCTGAACAGCCTTTAATACAAGTGGGTCACACGTTTTAAACATACAATAGATGTCTGATGAATAATCATCGGGTGAAAAGCCGTCCCAGCATGCCGAGATAAAAAAACAAACAGAAAGGACATTGTTATTATTATATTCAAAAACACAAACACAATTAAATAAGCGATTGACGTTTATATGATTTTAATTAAATCCCCAGTTGAATGGTGGACAATGCTATCCATGATTCTCTGGTATAATGAAATAATTTGGCACCATCCTTCGGCGCACACCAGGTACGGTTTGCTACGAGTCCTAAAACTTGGGCAGACGTTGATGTACTTCTAAAGAACTGTGAACAACCGCATTGATTCGTGCTGAATCGGCAAGGTCTACTAATAATATCCTGGGAATATTTTCGTCGACGTCAGTATCTATAGAGCAATTGTCAGCAACCTCAGGGAAGTAGTCTTAACACCAATGAAAAATTTAAATAAATCGTGATGTTTCAGCTACGTATTGCTTTTTACAAATATTCATAATATTTGTACGATTTCTTACTATGCACGCAACATTTATAGGCCCTTATTTATCAAAACATAGAAACACAGAAAAATAATGTACTAAATTCCAACACTAGCCTGATCCAGTTTAATCTGAAACTAGGATTTCCGATATAAATATATACTATTCAAAAAAAAGTAGGGGATATTTGATTTTTAAGTGTTATTAAAGTCACCTAATGAAACTGACGAAGAAAGAAATGACAAAATGAAATGAAGTTCACATTCATCGATTTATTCCAAATGATCGTTAGACTAAGTAAGGCACAGACTGACCATTATAAGGGTAAAATGATACCCGGGGTCAAACATCAAAGTTACCACAGCATCACAATCAAGTCAGTAACGGGTAAATCCTCCTCTGTTTGCCAAACAAGCATTGATCCGACGTGGCATACTCCTAATGAGACGTCTAAGGTCATTTTGGTCCAGATTGTCCCATTCCTGTTGCAACGCAGCAGCAAGTTCTTGGACATTGGCAGGACGTTGTTGACGTTGACGTAACCTCTGTCCAAGCATGTCCCAGACATGCTCGATGGGGGAGAGGTCGGGACTCAGTGCTGGCCAAGGTAATGTGGTGATGTTCTGTTGTTGGAGGTAACCTGTAACGATCCTGGCCCTGTGACATCTTGCGTTGTCATCCTGGAAGATGAAACGGCGGCCATGACGTCGTGCGAACGGCACAACATGGACTGCCAAGATGTTGTCCCGGTAGTACTGGCCTGTAACACGCCCTGCAACAACATGTAAAGCCGTTCTTCCAGCAACAGTGATGCCTCCCCACACCATAACAGAACCACCCCCAAATCGATCATGTCTGATGACGTTAACGTCTTGGAAGCGCTCGTTTCGACGACGCCACACCCTCCTACGTCTGTCCAAAAAATCAACAGTGAACCTTGACTCATCTGAAAACATCACATTGCTCCAGCGTCGATTATCCCAGTGTTGACGATCCCTACACCAACGACGTCTTGCCTGAATGTGATGATCTCTCAAACAAGGGATCACGCGAGGACGTCGGGCGCGAAGGTGACCCCTATGCAGTCGATTCCGAATCGTCTGGCCACTCACTCTCACACCAGTGTCTGTTTGAAGACGAGCGCTGATCTGATTTTCTGTGATGACACGATTTCTCAAGGCCAAGGTACGGATAAATCGATCCTGGGCTTGAGTTGTCGCCCTGAGCGTGGTCTGTCCTGTACAGATTGTGTATCACGGTATCTGGACCATAGCCTGCTTATGACAGACTGAGAAACATTCATCGTCCGCGCCACAACCGCCTGTGTTGTGCCGATCTGTAGCATGCCAAGGGCACGTAACCTTTCATTTTGGGTAAGCCGACGCATATCAAAATTTGTTTTCTGGTCACTAAAACAATTAAACTGATGTTTCCACCCTGGAATTCAATGCCACAATGACTGTAACATTCAAAGTCAGAGTCGTGCAAATCTTGGGTTGGACCCCCATGATGATCCCAAGCATCACCTGCATTCCATGCGGTAGTTATTGGTGCGTTTGGGCGTCACATGTAACTGGAAATGTTTCTTCTGTTAGGTTCTATAGTGACTTTTTTCGTAGTCATTTGCATATTTTAGTATTATGCCCCCAAAATCAAATATCCCCTACTTTTTTTGAATAGTATATTTAGATTACAAAAGGCTCAGTAGTTTTATTTCATCTGCAACGTTTTACTTACCTTTAAATAAATTAACAAGCCCACAAATCAATAATGTATACATTCCCATACTGCTATCACCCATGATTATAAAGGTAAATATTTCAGCTCTCAGTATTAAATTTCTATAAAACAATAGTATGAATTGAACAACTATATCATTATTAATTGTTTAATCACTGGCTAATATTTTCATCGGGACATAACATAACAATAACGTAATACTAAGCAATGTCGCCATAGCGACATGAATAGTAATCCGGGAAGAAATCAATAGATGGACAACGAGCTGGTTTGTTGTTCGGTATTCGCGAATAACGAACACCGAGCTTGTTTGTTGTTCGTTATTCACCAGGTATGGAATTAGTAATATAATAAAGGCACTTTTAGAGAGAATACTTCAAAGTGTTGGGAAATAGATTCTAACAAACCCTCATTCTACCCGAACAACTAGCTGTTCATATTGGCGAACAACGAGCTAGTTTGTTGTTCGGTATTCGCGAATAATGAACAACGAGCTTGTTTGTTGTTCGTTATTTACCAGATATGGAATTAGTAATATAATAAAGGCAATTTTGTAGGGAATAAGCTGGGAGTGGGTTTTTATGAGCCTAATTGGATTATAAAACTTCAAAGTCTTGGGACAAAGATTGTAACAACCCCTCTTTCTACCCGAACAACGAGCAGTTTCATATTGGCCAATAACGAACTGGTTTGTTGTTTGGTATTCGCGAATAACGAACAACGAGCTGGTTTGTTATTCGTTATTCACCAGATATGGAATTAGTAATATAATAAAGGCACTTTTAGAGAGATTATGCCGGGAGTGGGTTTTTATTAGCATAATTGGTTCATAAATCTTCAAAGTCTTGGGACAAAGATTCTAACAATCCCCTTTTCTACTCGAAGAACGAGCAGTTTCATATTGACGAATAACGAACAACAAACCAGCTCATTGTTCGTTATTCGCGAATACCGAACAACGAGCTGGTTGGTTGTTCGTTATTCACCAAATATGGAATTAGTAATATAATAAAGGAACTTTTGTATGGAATACGCCGGAAGTGGGTTTTTATGAGCCTAATTGGATTATAAAACTTCAAAGTCTTGGGAAAAAGATTCTAACAACCCCTCTTTCTACCCAAACAACGAGCTGTTTCATATTGGCGAATGACGAACAACGAGCCAGTTTGTTGTTCGGTATGGAATACGCCGGGCGTGGGTTTTTATGAGCCTAATTGGATTATAAAACTTCAAAGTCTTGGGAAATAGATTCTAACAACCCCTCTTTCTACCCGAACAACGAGCTGTTTCATATTGTCGAATAACGAACAACGAGCTACTATAGTTTGTTGTTCGTTATTCACAAGATATGGAATTAGTAATATAATAAAGGCACTTTTAGAGAGATTATGCCGGGAGTGGGTTTTTATTAGCCTAATTGGTTCATAAATCTTCAAAGTCTTGGGAAAAAGATTCTAACAACCTATTTTTCTACTCGAACAACGAGCAGTTTCATATTGGAGAATAACGCACACGGAGCTAGTTTGTTGTTTGGTATTCGCGAATAACGAACAACGAGTTGGCTTGTTGGTCGTTATTCACCAGATATGGAATTAGTAATATAATAAAGGCACTTTTAGAGAGATTACGCCGGGAGTAGGTTTTTATTAGCCTAAATGTTTCATAAATCTTCAACTCTTGGGGAAAAGATTCTTACAACTCGTTTTTCTACTCGAACAACGAGCAGTTTCATATTGGTGAAAAGCGAACAACGAGCTTTTTATAAAATGAAAGTCGATGACACCACGAAAAGGAAATTAATGGAAAACCATTTTATTAAATATGTTCCTCGACTTAATAGTCAATAAGTAACAATTGGCCATTAGCTTCATTAATTTTCTTAAATCTATCCCATGATTATCTTCCACTCATTGTTCATAAATTGAACCCATATACTACAGATTAACACATGTGTGTCCCTTTTTTCTATTAGTTAACGATATACTATGTAACCATAGACAATGGTAATTATAGCCAATTAAAACCACAGTGTTATTATGTAAATATGTATAAATATACTATACTGTCCATCTTTATACAATGACCTTATTTATGAATAGTCCCAAAACGGACCAAAAGTACTTTAAAATGTTATTAAACCAGTGTTGAAATCAGTTTGTGTCGGCATACTTTTTTTTATCTTTTCATCATTTACCGTGAAACAAAGTAGTGCAGCTTACAAAGCTGCACTACTTTGTTTCACGGTAAATGATGAAAAGATAAAAAAAAGTATATATATATATATATATATAATTAAAATTTATGATAAAATCCTGTCTCTTTTAAAACGTCTAACACTTTACCACATAAAACCGGTTGGGCAAACATGCGATGTAATGACTGCCAACGGTAAAAATTCGATTTCTGTATTTAATATTTATATGCATAAAAGTTATATTTTATTTTAAATTTTACTAACATAATAGTCACCATATGTTTGGCGCAATATAGCCAGGTTGGAGCTGAGGTTCCACATTTCATTCATTCCGAAGGATGTTCTTCATTTTAGGGCACCTCTCTAGAATCGACTTGGATTAAAAGTCGTTACCAATGTCATGATGTTTTCAGGTTCAGTTATGGCTTTTGGTGACACTAAGGGCTGCTGATTGAGATTTAAAGCTTTCTGAATTGCATCTTTCATCAATTTGATTTGATACATTTGTGTTGGAGTAAGTGTTTCTGGGTGGTGTTTATTGCGGACAACAAATGCATCATCGACGCTGCGATACCAACATCGGGGGTTTGATAGGGGAGGTCTGTAATACACCCGTTTCAAAACTGGTCATGAATACTTCAGACAGTGGGTTACCCATAGATAGGTCATGTATTTGTTGATAATATTCACCACCCCATCTAAAGTAAGTGGCGTTCGAATTCCAAACACCAATGCATCTTTAACGTGCAGCCATTGGTATATATCGTCCCAGCAATAATTGCTGAAAACAGCGTATCAACTGTCGACGGTTGTCAAACATGGTCTAGTATACATTGTACTTGTCAGAGAGATTAACTGTAAGAATACACGTATCTCGGTGTTATTGAGCGTGTTCTATTTTTAATTCAACTGTATAGACTATCAAGTAAAAACCATTCATTTTTCTAACAATGGCTACAGCTAACTTGACTACTGTCCTAAAGAAGTTTTATAAAATTATTTTAACTTGTAACAATTTCATTTGACCCGTGTTTTCTGGAAAGTGGCCAATAGTGTATTGAAATAAAATGCTAATTATAGATAAGCCTGTTTGTTTTTGTTGTTTTGTTTATAATATGTAATTAATTTAAATAAGGTCATAAGTTTGAATATGTATTGTTTTTCACATGTTTTAATGCACGGTGAAAAAAACAGTGGTACGAAATGTGCATAAAGTTACTCTAAATTAAGATAATTATTAAACCTCTAAATTGTGTAAATAAAGTATTAATTGTTAAGGGAATGTTATTTAAAACAATACTTAATTAAGATAATTATGATTATTAAACTCTGAATGCTCTCGCATCCATTTCTAAGTTGTTTAAATAAAGCATTATTTGTGACCAGAATGTTATTTACTTAAAGGGGCCATTCCGATTGTAACAGAGCCTCGGAAGTACAAATCCGTGTACGTGTGACATTAAGGCGTCAAAATGTAGAGAAATGATTATTTACCTTGTCTCAAAATTTCAGCTCAAAATATTGAGTCGTTTGGACGTGAACGTCGTAAACGCTTATCCAAACACGTAACCCTTTTAAGATTTCGGGTCAATTGTTTCGTTGGGTGGCCTGATAGTCTATTGCTGTTCCTTTAGAGATATATACAGTGCATCACCCACGTGCTGTACATGATAACGAAAGGTAAATTTCGCCTACACCTTATTTTTATAAAATAAAAGTCTGGTTTTATCCAGACACCGTATAATACGGCTTTATGTTTTGAAATAAAATAGAGCGAATTAATACAGATAAAGAAAAACTTACCAGGATAGATAGCTTCTCGCATTTTCGTCTTGACATGAATTCTTCCTTGCTGTCACGTGATCAACTCCTACTATTTTGAAATGCATTCCTATCCGTTAGGCTATAACATTAAATAATCGACATCTATTGAAAGTTATACAGTCTTATTCAACTAGTAAATGTCTTTATAAGGCAAGAGTTAACACACTCACAAGACTTGTGTTAAAAAGGTTATCTTAACAATATTAAAAATCAAAGTGAACGGTTGTACTGATAATCTATAATATTGAGGGCCAATTCCCGCTAACCACTTACTAATTAATTAAACTTAAAACTTAATAACTAGCTCAACCTTTTCAATAAAATTTGGGCATACAAAAATTGATATTTTATTCGAACCGTGTAAATAGCACATCGAGGACACCCACAAATGGTGGCTTATTATAATATTAAAAAGGTATCATTTTGATACGTCCAGTTATTATTTCATCGTATTGACATAAGCAAAGGTAATTATATTCGTTACCTATAGCTGCATTATAAAGTGGACAAATTCCACTAGCATATTATAATTAGAAATACAAGATCCGTACAGTATATAGCTATTTCTACCTGTCATTTGATAAGAAATTAAAATCAGTGATAAACTGTAGAATAAATATCGCTCCCAGAATATTCAGCTTTACCAGTGGCCCTTTGAAATCAACCCCTTAATAATGATAGTAACCTATTTCCCATATAATCTGTTCTATTTTCAGCACCCCATACTTCTGATTTGAATTGGTAAAATGTTCTAAATAAAATGTTTCGCGATAACTTGATCTAAAATAAGAAAATTCCTTAGTGGGTCTAATGACAATCAAGTTTTATCACGGAAAACGAATCTGAATCACCAAAAGGCGACAAAATGGTACCGTCTTCTACCCTTTCATCTAACTATATTTTTTTTGTAGATTAATACAATGCTCATCATTATTTTTCTAGAGCGATCTTCCTGTCGACGTTTGTGATCCTGTGACGAAAAGAAAATATTGTAAGAGGTCGTTTGGTTGTTTAATCCTGCATGTGGATGTTTCCTTTCTGTGCCTGACTTGACAAGTTGCATTCCTTTAATCAACGTTTGTGAATATTTTACTAAATTTATACACTTAGCTTAACAGGTAGAAGTTGTCTCGAATTTTGTATGACAATAACACATTGTTCACATTTTTAAATCGTATAGATTAATTTTCGACGATTTCTTATTTTCAAATTCTATAATATTGTTAAACAGCTGCCTTCATGCAAATAAGATTTTGGGTATTTAAAGGGGAAGACCAACGATTTTCAACAAGGTTTCCATAAATAATAAATATATATTTAGAAATAATCCCCCCTGTGACATATGCAAAAAAATATTTGTAAGCGAGAAATTAATTTTTATTAATACAGGAAGTGACGTAGTTGGTTCAACACTCTCACTCTTCTCTATAGTAAACATACAAGTTTGGCGCTGTATTTTGAGATTGTTTCGCCGTTTGGCAGAACATCTGATGAAAAGAAATCTTTATTAGGATATTAAAAACATGAACTTACGGTGTTTTATAGGTATAATACACAACGCGATTGTGTAAATTAAGCTTCTGAACTGGACACCGTGACCCAATTTTAGCCACATGGCTAGTTGTTTATATCACGTGATAGCTGGCACATATTTCGTCTGCATCCTTCATTCTTTATTTAGTAACTGGCTGTGTATTTTTTACATTTATCAACGTAAACAGACCAATATTAGCGGCTTGTGAATATTGACTCTTGGCAATTGATGTTGAGGTAAATGACTTGTTGGGCTAAATAAGAAGACTAATAGTAAACAATCGAAAATGCCCTCTTGTAATGTGGTGTCAGGTTGTAAAAACTATGAGATAACAAGAAGCATAGGCGTGCCATTTCATCGGTTTCCATCAGATGCAAGGCGTCGAAGAGAGTGGATTGTGAAAATTAGAAACCAGAATCTCCCAATAAATTCCCCGTTTAAAAGAGTAAATAATTTGAAGGTGTGTGGCAAGCATTTTGTACCATCCGATTATCTCCGAGATTTACAGCATGAACTGACTAAAAAAAATTCTATATTGAAGATAGACGCAATTCCAAGTATTTTTACTTTCTTACCAGAAATTCAACAAAATGACAGGTCAGCATTTGCAAAAAGGGAAATCATTCGAATGCAGTCAGAGTCACGGGTGACACCGCTACCATTTGCATTTGGCTCATCGAAACAACAAAGTGCGTGTTCAAGTGTTCCTCACGCTCAGACTGTACCAAGCAGCAGCACTGAATGGGAATATAGCTCTCCTTTTAAAACAAATTCAATTAAAAGTCCATTATTTACACCAGGTATAAGCAGCGAGACTAAAGTTAACACCACCGACTCAGAGACTGAATTTTATGGTGAAGGGGGCATCAATGATAATGATTGTTTATTGGTGTGTAAAAAGAACCTCGCAGATTTATTTAAAACATGTCAAAATTGTGGTCAAGGGATAATTTCAAAGAGAACTATGAATGTTGGTTCAAAACTTGTGATAAATTGGGAATGTGTATAGGGACATGAAGGATGCTGGAATAGTTGCCATGATATTCGAGGTATGCCACACTCACAAACATCAAACTGGCCTGTGCTATCGTCTTTTCAGGCAATACTTACCAGAGTTTTAGCAGTTTAGCTGAAGCAGTTGATTTACAGATGTTCAGTAAATCAACTTTCAATAACATCCAAAACACTTATGTTCTTCCAGTGATAGACAAGACATACTAAACGCAATATATAGAAAACATAGCCCAACTTATTGGAGAGACCCTTGATGGTGGTAGCGTGTCCCTTATGGGAGATGGCCGTTCAGATTCCCCCGGATTTTCTGCAAAATATACAACTTATTCTATTATGGATGAAGCCACACAAAAAATTGTCGACATGCAACTGGTACAGGTTACAGAGACGACGTCATCTGTTGTGATGGAAAAAGAGGGTTTTTTAAGGGGTGTGGAAAGTCTTCTGCATCATGGGATTAACATAAAGACAATGACAACTGACCGGTCACCATCAATTAGAAAAACAATGAGGGAAGAATATGGAGGAATTTCTCACCAGTTTGACTGCTGGCATATATGTAAAGGTGAGTGCTACATTTTATTTACAGGCAAATGATTCTCGGAAATAGAACTTTGATATTTATTCATATATTTTACTAATGATCTTATACAATATACAATGTGTATTTATTCGTCTCAGTTTTAGTACATTAGATTTTCTTTTGTTTTTTGTGCATTTGTAATATCGTAAATGTATTTTACATTACAGGTGTAAAGAAGCGATGTTTTGCAAGCGGGAAACAGAGTGGTCATGGTATATTGTTGAAATGGACCAAGAGCATTACAAACCATATGTGGTATGCATGTTCAATCTGTGGTGGCGATGCAGATGTTAGTGGTTTTTTTCAACTCTTTAATGAAAATTTTTAATTAGTGTATCGAAAGTTTTGTAAAAAAAATAACGATTCGTAATACGTTATAACAAATTAGTCTAAAGATGAATGACATATTACTGGTAAAAAATATAAAATTACATAATAATTGTTGATATTTATTAAATTCACAGGAGCTGAAGCGAATTTGGCACTCCATTCTTTATCATGTTACTTGTGTTTATAGTTGGGAGGATGAAGATGGAACTGAACGATCATGTTACCATGAACCACTTAGTCAGGATGAACAAGAATCTCGCATGTGGTTTGATCCGACTTCAACTGTGTACAGAGATCTAATGACAAAAGAAAATATCAAACATGTATAACTCAACCCAACTCAAATGCTTTAATGACAAAAGAAAATATCAAACATGTATAACTCAACCCATACAGCCTAGTGTTCAAAAAGTAAAGCACCCCATTGCCCCAAAGGTTATGCATGAACCACTTTTTGTAGTTGTCATTGTCACCTCAGTGGACCAGCCTTTTAGTGTAACGATTTTGCCTACTGACTGAAAGTACTAGGGGATTACACATAATGAGTTGCAATAAACTTTTATGCTTCAAAATCATTCTGTTCGATCATATATTCACATAAAAAAATATATATTTTGCAGGGAAGAAGCTATACAAGTATGTTGCCAGTAAAATGAATGAAGGAGAATGGACAGCCAAGAAAATAATGGAATAAAAGTCGTATCATTATGCAAAAGATATGATGGCTGATGTAATACAGAGGCGAAATGATCCATCAGTTATTTATACCGCTAATGACTCTCACACTGATAAACCTGCTCTGCCCAGAAATATTGCAAAACATCCGAGACCTGATGTGGAAGAGATGCTGTGTAAAAGGAGAAAGAAAAGTGCAAATTCATGAAGTGGGCTATGTTAATGATTTTGGAGAGACCAAGATAATTGAAAACAAAAACACTGACATTTCTAGTTTGTTTATATATATATATATATAATTGAAATTAAAGGTGGCAAAGAGCAGCTTTAATTAACTATTCTACTATATATATATATATATATATATATATATATATGTGACAGTAATATTTTTTATTTGTGTTCATATGAACCTTGTTCTAAGTCAAAGTCTTTTTTGTTTGCACTTCAATCATCAACTCAAACTGACATCCACAAATTTTGAATTTGTTTATTGTTCGTATTTTACTATTAGACTGTTGGTAGTTCTGCATATTTGAACCCAGCATACTCTTCATCATCTGCAGGATATTTCGCACGTATAACGTTCACAATACATGCTGGTAGAGGAATTCGCTTCTCTTTTCCTAGTATTTCGCCCTGTAGTAGCCAGTC